ATGGACCATGAAACATATGTCAGGTGACCGATACATGATATACCTACAATTTTCGTGACCTAGGATGACCTGGCCTTGGCCTGAAAAATTCGAAGTAAAAGTTCGGTACCCTTACGGTATCTAACGCATATATCAAGGAGTGCGTAAACCAAAAATGAGTCTGATCGGACTTGTCAGCCGGCGGCCAGAGCCTGAATTGTAAGCAAGCAAAAAAGTCGATAATTTTTACTTTGACCTGACCTGTGACGTCATCGGTGACCTCGAGGTCAATGGAAATAGGTCTCGATTAACAGTTTTTCCAGGGTTATCAGGCGCCGTTTGATTTTTGACGATCGGGCCAGTAGTTCGGGGGGGGGGGGCTCTCGAGAGCCCCTTCCCCCCTCTTCAGTCACTCGCGTTATGGAAAATACCCCAGTCATGCGTAAATGAAAGGAAAATACCGCGTCTCTGTGAAGGCGGTCTTAGCATGTAATCACAAAATCACACACCACCTAACGGTAGCTGTCGCATGACTTAACCCTCGCCCGCACATGCCATTTTCCCATCCTAGAACGCACATGGGGGGGGGTGGTTGCCACCCCCCCCCCGCGCCGTTTCGTTCCTGTTGGAGATAGAGCTTAGCGGTAAAGACCAAAAAGATTCTTTGGGAAGAGACGAATCCAATGATACCCAGTTTTACCTTCTCAGGTCAGTCATTGACCTTCCAGGTCAGGTCAAACTAAAAAATGTTGCTGTTTTGGGTCACCGTTGGATATCAAGTGCGCTGCTTATCAAATACCGATGACGATGCTGTTTTCTGGTGCCAAGCCAGCTAGAACCTCTTTGTCACACTACCCGACCAGAATTTTGCTGCTGAGGTCATTTCAGGTCAAGTTAGGTCAAGGTCAATTATATGTGTTTGTATGTCTGTGTGTATCTGTGTGTATACTGATGTGTGCACCGATTGTTTTTGGGTCCATATTACATGAAATCATGATCTGAGAAGCTTTTACCAAAAATGCAGTAAAAAAAAACTTCACAAAAAGTAAATTCAGCTTGCCTAAAACGCAATTATCTTAGATGACCTAGGTTGACCTTGACCCTGACCTTGACCCCTGTACCTCGTCGAACAACATGTTCCATGATAGGTGGGAGGTAAGACTGGCAAAAAAGGCCGAAATCAGGGTGTCAAAAGCTCACAAGGCCCATGGCAAACGCAAGATGTTGAGAATTGGCCATTTGGGTCATGACATGACCTGAAAAACAAGGTCATATCTCCGAAACCAAAAATCACAGAAACTTGAAATTTTCAGTGGACATCAAGAAAGGATAGAGGAGCAGCTATACGAAAAATCAGCCTTCTAGCTCTAAAAATGTTGAGTGCAGAGCAGAAAGACTACCTGGGGGGGGTGGCAACCACCCCCCATGTGCGGGCGAGGGTTAACCCGCGCGGGGCTGGGGGGGTAAATTTTACCCCCCCTCGCGAATTTTTGCGATATCTCAAAAACGGCGACGCGCAGCGCCGCCAAAATTTTAGTACCTTTTCCTACATCAATTTGACACGTTCCCTGAAAATTTGAGCGAAATCCGTCGGAAAATTTTTGAGAAATTGACGTTTTAGTGACGTCATGTTCGCCATTTTCGCCTCAAAAACGGCAAAAGTTCAAACGCCGCTAACATCTTCATTTTTAAAGGAATCAAGACGTAACAAAAAAGGTTATGCGTAATTTTACTTTGTCTATCAAATGGCTATCTCAGTTTTTTGAAAATTTTGGATTTTGGACTAAATTTTTTCAAAAAACTGACTTTTTTGGGAAAATCATTATAAAATCCAAAATTTTGAGTCTATCGAAAAAACCGGAATATATGTCAGAGAAGTGGTCTATGTGCACCTACATACCAAATTTTAGAAGAATCGGTTAAAAAATGTGGGAGTTATTCAAAATTTTATGACGTCACGACACACAATTTTTTTGTAAAATGACTTTTTTGGAAGTTCTAGACCTCGTACGGTAACAAAAATAGCACCATTCGATTCGCCGCGAAAAACTGCATGAGATAGACACCTTTTTAGGCCTTAACAACCAACTTCAAAATTTGACCTCACTTGACCTGACCTTGACCTGACCTCGACCTGAAATTCATTCAGAGGTGGTCCATATCACTTATTGAGTGTGCCTATTGAATTCTATGAGTAAAATGACCCATAAAACATGTGTCGCACATGCCCTTTTCTATATTTTGTTTTTGGTGACCTGACCTGACCTGACCTGACCTTGACCTTGACCTCTGAATGATATTGTATGCAACGAATATTGTCTTGGTAGCCTAAGAACACGTTTTGGGCGATCAGTCTCAGTCCATGACTCCATTCTTCGGCAACTACGGTGCAAGGCCGATACTGTAGAAACTTGCAATTTGTACCCTTGACCTGACCTTGACCTTGACCTCAAACTTTAAATTAAGTACATGTTTTTAGTAGTTCGTGATGAGAGCTTTCGATTGGCGTTTGAATTTTCCAAATCGGACCATTAGTTCGGGAGATAACAGGGGGGGTAAAATTTACCCCCCCCAGCCCCGCGCGTTCGGCTGGAGACCCCAGCCCCGCGCGGGTTAACCCTCGCCCATGTAGGGGGGTTGGTGCAACCCCCCCCTGAGGTTTTTCGGAAATAGTGCAAAAACGGCGGCGCGCAGCGCCGCCAAATTTTGGGTACTTTATGGGGCAAACCTTGCGCATCTTTTGATAAAAAAAAAATTGACCGGGTCATGTCAGGTCACGGAGTTATGACGTCACAAAGGGAACAGCCTCCGGCCGGATTTTCACAAACTGAGTGCCAACGCCCGAGGTTTCCTGCCGGTGGTACGGACATCGGTTGATGGATCGTGATGAAACTTCCCATGCATGTTGGGGCAAGTATTGGCTATCATATGGTATAAGAAACTTGACCGGGTCAGGTCAGGTCACGGAGCTATGACGTCACAAGAGGAACAGCGTCCGGTACTATTTTTGAAAAGCGCCCGAACCACTATTTTGCTAATTCTTGTCACCTCAATGGGAATATGCAGCAATATTAGCTTCTATAGGGAGCAAATGGACCTTCCAAATCCAAAAATACAATCAGATTTCAAAAATTTAAATTTTGATTTTTCGAATTTCTGCCGCCGACTGTGACCTTGCCGACTTCCGGCGCTCCCAACGCGCCATTTTTAGAGCTAGGGAAACGAAATACATACCAAACGATAGAGAATTGATCAAGGAACACGATAGTGAAGGTTTCAAGTCGATATCTCCCACCGTTTTGCCGCAATCGCCGCGGAAAGTTGAAAAAAGTCTATTTTTCCGAAAATTTGACCTTTGACCGGTCAAAAGTAGGTCAAATGTTGACCTAGGACCAAAAAATATACCACCAATCGCGAGATCTCGGCGAGAGCAATCCGTTGGTCTTTTCCGCTAAGCTCTACGACGCTCCGTTTTCAAACGCCAAGGGGGGGTCGCACCAACCCCCCCTGCATGGGCGAAGGTGGCAGATCGCCGTTTACGGGCGAGGGTTAACTTTAGTAGTTTTCGAGCGCTACCACTCCCCAAACCGATTGGTGTCACCAGACTGCTGATAGAATCTCCTGCGTCTGCTTCCACGAACCATGTGAATAGTCACAATCGGAGAAACCGACCCGTCTTTAGGTCAAACGCTCTCAATCTCTTCGCCCCATAAAATGACAATGACGATCATTCAAGGCCTTCGTCTTTCTCTTCATATCATTATTTCTTTTCATGTCTTTCTCTCGCTCCTCTAAGCCCTGTCCCAAATACATACCGCAGGCTGAGAACATGTGAATACCATTAGATTTGATATAATCTTCCGCACACCAAAGCGGCTCAGACTAATGCGATTATGGTCTCAGTGGCTCAGAAGGATGAGGTTAGCGTTCCCATACGACACCATCCATTATATCGTGACACAAAAACGATGTAGGGCGACTGTATCATGTCCGCGTTTGAGCAAGAACTAATGGTAATTGTTTGTGGTGTTTCCTAAATGCATCAGTTTGTTACCCCATAATGTACGGAGTCGTACAGTATAACAGCAACGTAAGGTGCTCAAATTAAGTAGGTAGTCCGTGCAACATCTGACGGCTAAATCAAACACTTCAAGGATATAAAACATGACGGTGTTTTACACAGTTGAACACAATTATTTATATATTTACAGTAAGCATGTCCACAACAAGGAACTTGTTACTTGTTGTGTAACACTTCATAAGTAAATTGCTGTTGTTGTTACACTTCATAAGTAAATAAAAGCAAGGAAACGAGCTTGCTTCTCCTGTAATAAGCTTGTTATTCTTGTCATAAACAACTTCTGACAGTCTTGATGGCATGCCACTTCATTCCTAAGTGCTCATGGCACCAGGGTTGTGCTCGACTCAAAAAAATTTGCCGACTCGACTCATCATTCAAATTCAGAATGTCTTGACTCAACTCTGACTCAAACAAGGAGATGATTTTTCCCTTGACTCGACTCATGACTCAAGCGGCTCAATGAAAATATGAGTTGACTCAAACTTGACTCAAATTTTTTGTTGAGTCAAGTGTGTTGACTCAAAATTGACTCAGATAAAAAAAGTTGTTGAGCGGGGGGGGGGGGTGAAAAAATCCGGCAGCAGGGCCAGGCCTAAGTTGTTAAGCGGGGGAGAATGAAAAACTTATACTATATATTGTTTCTAAAAAGTTGAGTCAGCTGACTCATTTTCCTAAATGTTCTTGACTCAACTCAATGTCAAAAGTTATTTTACTGACTCAACTCTGACTCAACTCAACACCTTAATATTTTTGTCCGACTCAACTCTGACTCAACTCAACAGCTCAACATTTTATCCGACTCGACTCAAATCTGACTCATTTGAGTCAGAGTTGAGTCAAATTTCTGACTCGACTCATGAGTCAAGCACAACCCTGCATGGCACTGCCATTGTATTTCTACATTGAACCTGTACCTACTTCATACTTTATGCATTGCACCTGTATTTTATGGGATATATTGTATTCTACTCTGAAGCGTATCATTTGGTTAGCAAAACAACCTACGCATTATAAGGTATTATTCGCGATGTTATTTATCACGAGGCAATAAATATCCAAATTATTAACAATAAATTATGCCCATTTAACAATATCAGTCATGCCCTAAGCAGGACTAAGCGATGTTGCATTTGTTGATGTAAGCTGTTTCTTAAAACAACTATCATTTTAATACCTTATGAAAAACACACACATACACACTCTACTGACGCTCATCTGTTAGCACCTCGCGCTTGGGCGATATTATTTTTGTCCTCTCTCTGTGTCCGGAGTGGGTGCCCGCCGTCATCCCAGTGGTGTAGTGGCCTCCGCTCAGCAGATGGAGGGGTGGGCGGCTGCCGGGGACCCCGACTCGGTCCATCAGACGGCCGGACCATCAGCCGAGTGGTGACAGCCTTCCCCGCCGCGGAGGGCCGGCGGGACCTCTCTGCTGGGCGACCACCTAGAGAGTAGAAAATTGAACGTTAAAGAGGCACTTTATTATACGGGTGTTGATATGCAGGATCTCAAAAAGCTCAAAGGTATATGCCATTTAATCACATTTCTAGAAAGATTATCCAGACAAAAAAGAAAAATGCATAAGTAACTATACTGGAAAATAAATCACGTTATGAAATGTAACAAAGTAACTATTCATTTAATAATAATGTATTTTCACAGCAGCAGCTAAGAAACCTAGCGTTATCACGTCTCACTGTGGCTCCCTCACCGGTTGGTTAGAGGCAGTGGAGGGACGCCGCGGGGACTGAATGCCGCCTCGAATATCGCCGCGATACTGGGGAGCGGGCCCGGCCCAGCTGCGGACGAGGGGTCCCCTCCGACGGGCGAGGACCCGCTGCTGATGGCCGTAGCGTCCATTCGGCGGCACGCCCCGGCCCAGATAGGATCCCCCCGGCGGCCGGCCAGGGGGGCCACCCGGCGGGTGGGGCAGCCAGTTCCGCAGCAGCTTCTGAATGTCTTCTCCATGCTGAATCCGGTCCGTGTCTGTTTTTGATTGGAATTTTACTGGCAGGTAGCCCAGCCAGCCCAGACACATGAGTAGGCCCATGGTAGCCGTTCCAACCATTCTGGAGACCTGTCGGCAGGACGGGACATCATTACTAACAACATCGGCGCTAGCAAGAATTACATACACGCCACATTGTGTGGTAAGTGGTAAGTGGTAACAGATAAACGCTTTGTGGCAAGTATGTGTGTGCGACAGATGGCATAAAGACAGCGCTTCAAGCATTGATCAAACATGACGTCATGTATGTACGTACACTGTACAACAGATAATTATCGCATGTAGTGCATGCATCATCTGCAATAACACACATAATAGTAGAGTGATGCAGAAATACATGCGCCGCTGCATCAGCTTCGATGTGTTTGTCATGTACACAAAGGAAGCGTTGTATGTACTAAGAAAGACTAAAAACTTGCAATTCTTTCGAAATTGACTACAGCTTGCAATTCAGTTTTATGTTGTTACAGGGTGATCATTTTGGACTGATATAAACTGAATGTCGAAGCGTGCAAAGATAGGCCAATATATTTTGATTTCGAGTGTTGGTTTACAAGCCTGGTCAAAGTTTCGGTCAAAATCATTCGTTTTATATTCAAGCCCTTTTTGAACATCTAAGCGAAACGATGTAATCGTTAAAAAGTATGTCTCATTTGGATGACTTTGCAACATAGCGAATTCATGGCGCGCATGCAAAAGCAAGAATACGGTGATACAGGTTTCCTAGAACCTACACAGGATCAGTACACTGAGGCACTCAGAAAAACAGTCATGCCTGAGTGGATATCGTTGATGGAAGTGCCTTCAATTACACTGTGGTTTGGCGGACCCGAGGAAGGTACCGCCTTCTAAAGGATTCTGCAGTCGTCGTTTGGCCGGCTATGCAATGCATGACCAAGTCACTCGTCTCCGGTGCTGGTTTCAACAAGGCGATGTGTCTCCACACAACTGCGCCTGTCATTGAGTTCCTGTGCCCCAAAGATGGTAAACCTAAATAAAGCTTTGCGGATAAGCGGTCAGGCATGGCCGTGGCTTAAAGCCCGGACTTCTCGTAACGACACTTCCGTGTCTCGTTTCAAAATGACAGTTGTGGTCAGATGTGAGCCGGAGACAGTTGTTCACCTAGAGCTGGTAGTAGAGAGTTTTACCCGGAGCATGGGAAGACAAAAAAAAAAACAGCGGAGAATGACGAGACACAGTGACGTATGAGACACAGCGACGTCGAGCGGAGTTTACCCGGTCGGCGTTCCGCGACGGGTATATATTTTGAGCACCTCCTCTAAGCCGACTATTTACGATGATGTCTGGCTGTGTGTTCCAGATAAAATGTCATACCGTATGTGTTCGATGGGTGCAGGGTTGTGCTCGACTAAAAAAAATTGCCAAACTCGACTCATCATTCAACTTCAGAAAGCTCTGACTCAACTCTGACTCAAACAAGCAGTTCATTTTGCCTTTGACTCGACTCATGACTCAAGCGGCTCAATGAAAATATGAGTCGACTCAAAATTAACTCATTTTTTGTGGAGTCAAGTGAGTTGACTCATATTGACTCAGATAAAAAGTTGTTGAGCTGGGGGGGGGGGGGGGAGGGGTGAAAAAAATCCGGCAGCAGGGCCAGGGCTAAGTTGTTAAGCGGGGGGGGGGGGGGCAATGCAAAGCTTTTATATATTTTTTCTAGAAAGTTGAGTCAGCTGACTCATGTTCCTAAATGTTTGACTCAACTCAATGTGAAAAGTTATTTTACTGACTCAACTCTGACTCAACTCAACACCTTAGTACAGGGTGGGATGGACAAATTGAGACACATTGTGTTTATCAATTCAAATGCAGTTTGCCGGTTAACCAAAAAAAAAAACAATCAGTCAGAAATATATTTATTTCGTGACACTGGCATCGTTGTAGAGCATTCTCACTCGATAAACCCTCCCTCTGCCGCCACCATCCTCTCCAGCCGGCTCCTGAACCTGCCGCACGCGCGCTTCACGACAGCTCGGCCCATGGCCGCCATCGTCTCCTCGATGGTCCGTTTCAGAGCCTCCCTGGAGGGGTGGGGGCTCTTGTTGGAGACCCTCTCAACTTCGCCCCAGACAAAGTAGTCCAGGGGGTTGAGGTCCGGAGAGTTGGGGGGCCAGAACTCCTTGGTCCACGTCAGGTGCATGTTCTGCCGGCACCACTCCTGCGTCTCCTTGGCTGCGTGTGCGGGTGCTGAGTCTTGCTGGAAGACATATCCAGCTCCTCTCGTGACTTCCTTGATCCAGGGCAGGATCAAGGAAGTCACGAGACTTCCTTGATCCTGAGAGATTTCCTCTCGTGACTTCCTCCTCGATCAGAGCCTGGAGTTGCTGCAGAAACGCCGGCGTTCTCTTCTTCCCAGGCCCTGATTTACGCTTTTTACGCTCGGGAGTCACCTCTCCTTCATCCTCGCCATCTCCACCGCCCTCCTGCGCCCGCACACGCTTGGCAATGCGGTACACCGTGCTCCGTGGGACACGCAGGAACTCGCTGATCTCCGCCGGGCTCCTCCCTGCGCGCAGCGCCTGGAGCACGGCGGCTCGGCGATCGTACTCGGCTCCGCGACCAGACATGATTTGACCTGACCTTGGGTCACCCTCGCTTTTATAGCATCTGAGGGCCGTGCCAGCGATGCGACCAATCAGATTGCGGTTATAGCCGAGGCGTACAACCGCGTAGAAACTTGTCTCAATTTGTCCATCCCACCCTGTACTTTTGTCCGACTCAACTCTGACTCAACTCAACAGCTCCACATTTTATCCGACACGACACAAATCTGACTCAGTTGAGTCAGAGTTGATTCAAATTTCTGACTCGACTCATGAGTTAAGCACAACCCTGGATGAGTGTATTTGATTTTGTTATCCAGCTTAAACCTCGCCCGTATCGGTGTTTTCCCAGCCGCGAACGTATAAGGGGGGGGGGGGGCGTTGGACCTCCTTGCCATTCAGCCCCTGATTAAGCTAGCTGACCTTTCGTGACCTGATCTGATCAAGTTTTGCACTTAACAACATCATGTATACTTACGCTTGGTATCCGCAAAAGTATGTGCCTTTAGCATAGAGATATGAGTAAAGCCCAGATTGTGCTCGATGTGAATTGTTTAACGCCTCTCCCCTACAACCAGTCAACCGCATTATGTAATATTGAATAGCCAATTCATGCGCAGGTCAAGCATATGAGACGCTACATTTTTCATAGGCTACCAGAGCTGTGCGAGTGTGCCCGTTTCACGACCAAGTTTGTCAGCTGACAGTCATCAGATTACCCGCAGTGAGCACTGTAAGGATGTCGCGGGACGTTAGGTGTGGGGTTCAAAGCCCTGCCCCGCCGGTAAACATGTCAAAATTTGAATCTTTAGCGCCCTCCACCCCCATTCAGCTGCGTTATGTAATATAGGAACCAGTGTCATGCGCAGGTCAGGCACATGAAACGCTGCATTTTTCATAAGAGCGTGTGCGAGTGTGTCCGTTTGCCACCGAGTTGGTCGGGTGGTCCTGTCATCAGATTCCCAGCGAGCACCGCTCGGATGTCGCCGGGCGTTACAGGCGGGGGTCAAAGCCCGGCCCGACCCGCCAGGCGCCAGAAGACATGCCAAAAACTCGATACTATCACCTCATATGCAAATGTTTTTCGTAGGCGTCGCGCGAAACATTTGAAACATCGAACAGCGAACAGTGCCCATACATCAGTGACCACGCACAGCAGGGCTGAGATGGCCCAATCTGATACCTAGCCACAGGCACAACACCGATCACACCATAGCTGAAGACACACTGGTGGTGGCAAAGCTGGAAACGTTCACATCCACGCAACTACAACGCTGCCCCGGACACACTGAAAACGAGCTGCTGTTAGCAGTCACACACACAAAAGAGGCACAGCGTAGAGCATCTCTAACAAAGTTCAGATGATCTGCGGTAATATCACGTGCCGAACACCAAATGACGGGAGTGTTTGAAAGCTCCTCTTCTAATTTGGCTCCTGAACCTTACACTGACAAGCCGCGCAGAAGGTGCTCTAAATGACATCAGGAATGTAAATGGTGACATTTGCTTATTTTTCAAGACAGATTAACTATCAAGGTTCAAGTAAAATGTTTCTTTTTTGGACATTCTGATGTGATTTTACGCATATTTACGTCTGGACAGTGAGTGGCGTTGGAGAGGCCTGATTTTACATGACCCATAGCTCGTAAACAACAAAGGAATCCACAACACGAGGCATACCTTTTATCATTTTTTCAACGTTTCCACGCAGCAGTAGATTGTTGAAAACAACTGTTGCGTGATTGTTGAGTGCTTGTGTAGGTTTACCTACAATAAGCCTATACCTATATAGGCAGCTGGCGCTGCTATTAGGTAAGGGATGACTCGATCTCTTGTGTAGTTATGCGTAGTAACTTGGTTATTAATCCGCGCGCCGCTGGGTCTCGGATTTCTACCCCCGCTGGGGAGAGGAAGGTTGAACATCCCCGTTCTAACTCCTTCGCCTATTTCGACATTCGAATTTTTTTTTCGACAAAGCGGCGCATAGTTCAAAAACGGATAGAGCTACAGCGCCGCGGAATAGCGTATTCGATAGGTTTTTCAACGCTCTTTCTGCTCACTGTCCTCAGATTTGACCTAGCTTCAACAGTTTAGCATCCAGACTCCAGAGAACAAAAACTGTCAAAAAAGGCTTTTGCGGAAAGGGTTTTTCTGCACTAACTTTCGTCACAAACTCTGCACGAGCTTACGTTTACCGACATCGTGTCCTCTTGTCGAGACGCGTCGGATAAACTATAATTTGACCTTGAAAGTTTAACTAAAAAATATGACCTCAGGTCAAGGTCATGGCCTAAGACATGACCAAAAAGGTCTTGTTGCATATCAGTTGATTCGTATTTTTGGGCTGAACACATCTAAGGCATTTTCATCGCTCTAGCATGCCTCTATCACAAATTACTAGCAAGAAACAGTTGAACACCTTTCCTGACCTGAGATGACCTCAGAGACACAAAGAGGAGCCACGACTGCCACATACATACCGTTTCCCTATCCATTGCTGACAAT